GTTACGCAATCAGAAGACCTCTAGTCTCTTTCGAAAAAGAAAGCTCCGATGTTTTACTATTTCGCTCGAAAGTTCTACGCTTCAGAAATTCCTTGGTTTTACGATCCTCTGCTCGGAAATTTTATATTTTCGAGCCGGCGTGTTTTAAAATTCTACAAGTGCACCGTTTTATGACCCCGCCGTTCCGAGAATCCTCTGCATCGAACTCGATTCGAGAATTCCAAAATATCCTCCAACTGTCCTCTGTCCCGCGAAAATTTCACTTCTTTACCGTGCCCCCTCCCCCCCTGCGTACTCTTTCCAAGTTCCATTCGTCGAACTCGAGAAATTTTTCCACCCTTGTCCACGTTCGAAAAATCTCTCTGTACATACACGTAATACTACCGCGCCGTCCAGGCCAACCAAATTCGAGAAATCACCCCGAAAAAATGGCTGCTCGCTTCAGCAACGATCGAACGACCGTCCGAGTCTTCGACTTTAAGGAAAAACCTCGCGATCTAGGACAAAACATATGCATCCCCTGGTTGGCCGTAGCTGGCACGGGGGCACACATGGACAGTTTCCCCGGTCCCCAGCCAGCATGATTCTTTTATTTTACTTTCAGCCGTGCTCCTGGACACGACGTACTCGATTTTATCCACCCACACCACCACCCCCACGTCTATCCCGTAGGAACAAAGAGGTCCCCTCCTGTTCGTGCTAGGAAGGTCGCATATGGTGCTGCTCTTCCAACCCCCCCGAAACTTTCTGGTCCGTAATATGGGGGTGGCTATCTACCCCCGTGAACTCTGACCCCTCTTTATCTTATCTCACGGCCGATAGATAAGCACCGGCGATAAAGCTGCCGGGACGGAATGAAGGCACGGCCGAAAACGATGGGATGCAAGTAGTCGCCATTCCTTAATTAAGTCTCGACGACCGTTTGTTCGGTTTATTGGCTTGTTTGCCACCGCCCGTCACCGTGCCTGTTCCCCTCCCCTCGACCGGAAGATGCTGGCCCCCGTGGATATGCTTCCGAGGCATTTATGGAATTGTTTCCTTCGTGCTCTTTCTATCGGTGGTTCCCACTCGCCCTTATACGTACATTTCGTCTTACTTTTGTTTCCCATTCCTGTCCGTCTGAAGAAGACATTGCGACTACTGAAATATTGACCGTTTGTCTTCGCGAGCTGGGCACAATGAGGAATTATATACACGCATTATGATGGAAAGTCATATGATGGAAGCTCACGTCGAACATGACCCGTTTCGGATGAACAACCAGTCGGCTTCGCGGACCGTTTTTCCTAACTTTCTGTTTTAACCCTCTATGTGCTTTACTTCATTTGGAAAAGCTGCACTTGCGCGTTCGAATATTTTTAAACAGTGCATATGCATTTGCTGTATAATTGAAATAAATTCTAATGAAACGACAAAATTACTCTTGCAACTTGAGCGTCATCTATTGTTAAAAAAACTGCCACTGCCTTGTCAAACAGCCCTTGCGACAACGGTACCTATTCAAAAATACTGCTGCATATTTTTTATTCTAGTGATATTTTTCTTCGTATGTTTTCTTGGTTTTGTCCTAAAATATTCTAAAATGTATTAAAATTACGTGTATTTTTTTTACCTAAATTTTACGTTAAATAGCAACTGCGAATATACTTATCATTAAACAAAAAAATGCCATCTCTTCACGACGAATATACTCGGTATACACATCTAAAGGGTTAAACAGATACGTCGATCGTCGAGACAGGATCGAAGAGACACTAAACGGGGGTTCGAACACCTGCCGAAAAGAGTGTATCGAAAATGGTACCAAGTAACATGGTTAACGATGTCCCAATAATTACGTTCTCATAATTAAAAGAGATACGAGATAGAGAGCAACGGCGAAGGGGGCGGGGGGGGGGGGGGCAGAACAGAAAAGAAGACCCCATTACGTATTCCTCCGGCATCCCTCTTGATCTCCCCGCATTTTTATTGCACTTGCCGCTAGTAAGAATATGTTTTATTTATATTTCATATTTCTCTCTCTCTGCCGTTGCTGCTCCGAGGTTTCGTGACCACGAGAAAGCTTGATTCTCCGGATTCGCACAGGGTGACCACGGGGATATCAAGGGGAATCTCTGCCTTTTACGTTTCTTTTTTCTCTATCTCTATCCCTCCTCTCCACCCCGTGTCACCGTAATTTCTCCCCCTGTGTCTCTCGACTCCCATTTCTCTGCTCCCTCGCCCCTGGTTGGAAATAATTTCGCAAGCTTTTGTCGAAGGAATTCCGTGTTTATATCTGGATACATTGACACGGTCAGGGGAGAAGGTTGGCCCCAAATCATTTTTGTTGACATAACGTTCGCTGCGCGACCACCCCATCGTTTCCGCTGAATAATTGGCCGTCGCGAGTACCGGTTCGTTCATTTATTCAAGTGGCAATTGTCGATGTTGTTATAGACCAACGATCCCCTGTTATCGTATACGGAAGGTTGGTAGAGGGGTCATAACAAATCGTTTACTCGTGTGAAAACCTCAGGTACATGTATACTCGTCCTTTTTTATTTTTTTTGTCACGAACTTATCGGTTCGGTCGCGCATACGTTTCGTCGCGATTATTCGTACCAGTTAATTCTCGGCACTTCAGGCGATCGGTCGTTCGTAATATACACACGGGGTTCGTCGCGGAAAAAAGTTCGAGTTGAATCGCCACCGAGAAATGTCGCGTCGCCGCGTTTAGCGACGCGTAAACGGTCCACGTCCGGTGCTTTGTGACATTCGGGTTGGGGTGTTACACGCAATTTGCCACACTTTCCAGTAATGACTCCGTGGGACCCTACGGCGTGTTTTATGGGGTATCGTTGTCCCCGAGTTGTGCATAACTTACAGCCCAGTGGCTGGAACCTTACCCCGTTGGGCAACCGTGGATCTTACGGGGTCGAGTGTAAAACGGTTGAGACGCTGTAAGGAAGAAGTGAATCACATTCTGGGATCGTAAAACTGCGTGACACATTTATATATCTCTTCTACGGTAATAAAGATACATTGTGCTGACCCGTGTGTGTCTGAAGTATAAAATAGTGGCGGGAAGGAAGCAGTCTTCAAGGGATCGATTGAATTTTGTCTGACTTTCTCCCACAAGTTACGAATTCGATTTTCTTTATCTCTCAGTGACTACTCCAATTGAGACACGAGATTTCCTGGTATATCCCCGTTTGTGTGCAATGGGTTCCATGAGAAACAGTAGCTTTTTATGCTGGCGTTCGTAACAATGAATCGACAGACGCTGGATGATAGGGTTGTTCGACGGAGAATTCTTATCGCGCGACGTGTTATCATTAAGATATACATCATAACCGTGTGAAAACGCGAGGAGTCCTCGTCAGGATCGTTCGGCGAAGGTACGTGAGCTGAAAATGTTCACCGAGCTGAGTAATTTCATTGCATATACGTGACGGCAGCCCCGCGGACGTCCTACGCTCTTGGCGATACTTGTTGACGTGTGTACGTGTGCGCCTGTTTGTTGTTTCTTTCTGTGTGCTCGCGCAAGCAACGAGAAACCGTGCGTGGGAATTTTGGATAATTTGATAAGGATTCATGCCGGCGCGAGATGCTCCATAGGCTGAGTAAAATTCCTTATTCCAGTCGCACGCGTGCCGGGATGACTTTTAAATTCCGTTGGCCCCTTTGATGGGGGCCGCGTTCGAAACTCCGGCACAACAGCCACGTAAATCAGAAGTTTGATACGTTGGACCGACCGAGAAGCATAAATCACGGGCCAGAAAATTATATTCCCTGAAGGAGACGTGTCTCCTCTATGAAGGTCATCGGGACCACTTTGGAATTAAAGAGCGAGGGACCGGATCGTTCCACCTGTCCAGTCTTGTCCGCATCGAAAATTATGTTTCCGTGGAGAAATACGTTTGATCGGTCATGATTTATCGTGGGGGGTGCTCGAAGACCCGAAACTGGACTTGAAGGAACCCCTTTCTTGAACGACTGTATAATATTTCGGTGATTTTATCGGTTTAAACCTATTCAGTCGGGACGAGCAATAACAAATGCAATTTTTTGAGTAATTAGTTTCAACGTGAAATCTTGTTAGTTCAGAGTTTTAATTGATAAAGCGTGTAGTTACATGTTTCCGTGAGAAATCTTCAGGAAGATGCACGCGGTATAGGAGTCACGTGGTCATTCGAAGTGTGTTGACATTTAATAGATCGAAAGAAAACTGTTAATATTGTTTTCCTTTATATATGGTTTAGTCTTGCTGGCATCAAACTGTTTTTGAATGTATAAAAGTGTATAGAAACATTTTGCAAAGGATTTCTGCAAAGATATGTTATGTCGCGATTTAAAAATTGTTACCGAAAACCGCCCGAAGGGTGGTAAAGAGCGGGAAACGAATGCATTGCATTTGAGACCGTTTGATTGTTTATACAATAGTATCGTGATCATGATAATCATTGTCACCTGATGCTGGTGGTTTGTGTAGTTAGTGCAGTGATCGGATACGTATTTTATATAGTGATCAAATTAAAGATTGAAGAGTGGATCAAGGAAACCAGGTTCGTAAACGTACACGTGACAATCGGTCGAGTTTGAGGTTATGTCACCCTGTAGTAGCCAATTTATCTTATTATTTCACACCTGTTTTGCATGTGATTTCGTTAATTTCATTAGAAACGCATTGTTAAGTCAGAAGCTCTAACTTTTTGTTCGAAAACCTGTTGCGAACAGGTTAAACAGTCACATTCGAAAGACCCTGATTTTGTTCTTATGTTTACATTACTAGAATGAGCAAATTGAGCCTGAGAAAGCATCGTTCGAAGAATGAAGAATCACAAACTGAAAGCAGTTCACCAACTAGTCCAAAAAATGTCATAGAGATCTCTACAGATGAGAGCGATACCTCAAATATTCATGAGATAGTGGACAGTGACCAAGAATCAGCTGTTGCATTAAGACCAGTCGAAGATTATGATGCAGAGACTTTATTTAAGTTTCAGAAGTCTACAGATAGTGTACAGACAGATGAAGATGTAGATGTTTTGATGTTTGGGTCCACTTCAGGATTAAATCCCAAAAATCAGATGTTCAGTTGGGAGGAAAAAAGTACGCATTTAAAACAGAATAATAATGCAGTGGCTGCTGATTCTGACTCCGATGATTTGCATCAGAAATCAAGGGTGCATCGTAAACAAAAGAAGAAATTCAAGAATACCCACACAGCACAATTATCAAGGAAAAATGGAGCTTGTGAAGACACTCTACCTGTAGTAGCAGTACACCATGAACTACAGATTGCAGGAATCCAGGTGAAGCTTCCTGTGAAACCATATTCTTGTCAAATTGCAGTAATGAATAAGGTAACACATTAAATGTAATTCATAAAGTACCAAAATAAGATTAATAGAGCTTCGATGACGAACCATATCAATATTTACAGGTGATACTGGGCTGCAAGAAAAAGGAGAACTGTCTTCTTGAAAGTCCAACAGGAAGTGGAAAGACACTGGCTCTTTTGTGCAGTGTTCTTGCATGGCATGATCATCATACCGGTGAGTCCATAGTACATTAACATATTCATTGTTTATCGTAACATGTTTTGCTTGTTTTTATTCATTTAAATTATGAAGTCTTCGTACAATTTCTTCAACGATCGCTCGATTTGTTCACAAAATTCTTAGGGTGTCGCGCGAATTTTCAACGTTAAAATGCATCCTCCCCAAGCGTAACACCGTTGACTTTATTAAACTTCCTCTAAATTCCCCGACGTTCCCCTGTCAGAACTTTAAAAACTCTTCCAGACAATTTCTTAACGTGTCACAGCAACCGTCCACCGCTCGCGAAAGATGCAAAATGATCGCGTCAAGTAATTCTTGCGTCTAAATTGGTCGCTGTCTTCCGTTTACCCCCGCCTGGGAACTTTCGACGCGTTCCAAACTTTCGCCGAAACTTTTTCACTCGCCATCTCGCGAATACAAAGTTAATTCCTTGAAAGTATTTGTTAATAACCACGGAGTAAGTTACGAAAGTTATTAATACCATGTACGGACAAATACGAACGCCTACGAAATACATACATTTCGAATATTGCGCCCCCAATAGAGAGTCACTAGAATGGGCGGTCATTTTGCATTTGTCATGAACGTGTGCCAGTGGTAGGATACATCTTTTAATTAAATAATCGTGTCATTACTAGATCCGATATATTCTGCTTCAGAGCTATTCTTCGATCAAAATTCAATTGCTTCGATTGAATTTATTTCCGACCAAAAATCGTACAATAAAGCAGCACCCTTTTTACGCGGATCAATTTCGCGTGATCCACGGTTAACATCGCGATTCCTTGAGAACAATTTGGTTGACAATACTCCACGATCGAGAATCTTTCATGCAGCAATCCACGTGGGCTTCTGCCTAGATATCAAGCGTGTAATCAAGGCGTTCTTAGCCACAGGGACAAGAACATTAAAGAAGTTCCCCGTTGTTCTACGATAAAGAGCCGGCTATTAGGCATTCGAACCATCGTATTAATTTAAATTATTCAACCCCCTCTCTCCACGTTGGAGTTCCGTGTCCATGATGTGTGCATGTTACTAATTGTTCGCGATTCGCGCAATTCCTAAACAATTAAATTCGAAGTTTCCCTGTCGCGATCCTCGTCCTTGGCGGTACCAGCTCGCGGAAAAGGGGGACGACGGATATTGTACGTCTTTTTGGCGAACGCTCGCGGCGGAACCGTAATTTCGCGGGGTATGAGCGGCCTCGATCGCGACCGTGTTCCCCTCGGTTATTATTTCCCATTTGCATAATACTTTTTAGCTTCCTTTGTCGCAGTGATATTGCGCAACGGGAATGATAATTCTTCCGTAGCGTCCTGGAACTTTGTTGGCCCTGAGCTTTGCCAGCGTGAGATCGGTATTTCATTGGTCGTTCCCAGGACAGACCATCGATGCTGTTTATTTTTACACAAACTCTGTGGTAACTTCCATTGTTCGCTTCAAGATACCGCCGTGGTGTTGCACAACATCACGAGATATGTATGAATCTATTTACATTCCGTTTACTTTTACGTGAATCGCTATTTTCCTCGTTGTTCGAACCTTTCGGAAAGCATCAGTTTCTTAACATTTTCCGTCCAGTATCGACGCGACTAACCGATCTTCGAACGTTGCGAATCGATTGTTATGTATCCACGGAAAATTACCGCGTATCTTATCTGACGCGAAAGTTACGTCTTTTGCACAATACATCGTCTCCCCGAAGATTAGGTTGCGTATCGTAACGAGCGATCTAAATATTCGCGGTGGATGTTGTAATGAAACCTGGCCATCAAACTTATATACACTATTTCATTATTATACGCAGAACGGCATCGTTTCAGATGCATCCAGATAAAAATAATTCGAATAAATGAACCATTCCCTACATTCCGTACTATGTCCTATGGCCAATTAATGTCATTCAGTGCATAAAATACGTAATATTAATTGTTTTTCGTTCATTTTCAAGTGATTAAAAGAAGACTGTCTATGTCAAACTGATGTTTGACTGTAATCTTGTAAAATGGCACATAATGTCATAGATATCAATGGAGTTTCACGTAACTGGAGATCCCACGGGGAACTGTCGCGCGTACCATTTCGTGGCTCGAGTCAAATTAAACGTTTCTCCACCGTTAACGTCGAATTTGCGTGCCGAACGGGTGCCTCCCTCGTCGTCTTTCTCTTCTTTCTCGTCCACAGGAACGATTGTGCCCCTCTACGAAACGCCACTGGTAACGTACCCAACTACCGCTTTGCCGTGTTCTGTTTCCGGAATCATGCATGGAGATCCACCCCGACTTCCTCCTCCTTCTTCCTTCTCTCGTCGGTGACATCGTCCTTCGCTGATCTGAAATTATCGAGCACGCGAAACCGTAAAGGTACAATATCGAACGTGTGTGTGTTAAAATCAAGAATCGAGGAAATGTGGTGTACCAGGGATTTAATTCGCACTTTCGGGATCAAGTACCATTACCGAACGTGTCGCGTGATTTTCCATTCGAGTTACTGCACGTGACTTTACGACCACGTTCAGCTTCACTATCTATGTTAATTCTCCCCCGTTCATTCGATTTTCCTTCTGTGTCAAGAACAGAATGATTTGGGTTAATTTATCTTTAGATCTCTTCTTCGTTAGTCACGAGGCTTCAAGTACACCAGATATTCACCCTTTAACGCCCAGTGTTGAACCGGTGCAACACTTATTTTAAAATTGTGTCAAATTCTGTAACTAATTAATATATAACTTTGGTCAGCAGGGATCCGTAGTTTCACTGATGTAAAATAGATCTTCGCCATTTCAATTAAGAAATTCAAGTATTCCCTCCGAAAATAAATAACGAAAGAGAAAAATGAAAAAAGAAAATAGGTCTGTTTAATATCGATATTTTCGAATTCAAAATAACAAGATACAACATAATACATGTATCAGTTTCATAACTATATCACAATCGCACAAAGTTCGCTATTCATCTTCATTCTATTATAACTTTTTTGTACAAAATGGTTATGCCCGTTTATTTACATTAAATAAATAAATAATTTTGAAGGGTCGAAAACGATTTAAGGGTCTGAGCGTTCAAAGGTTAGCGACGCTAGTTTCGGATCTCTGCCTGCGTGTCTGACGGTTATATAATTTTTCTCGTAAACATACACGTGTAACAGAAGTTTCAAAATAAGTGGATGGGTTGAGGACTGCGTGGAGATTCGACAAACTCTAGCGGCCTACTTCGAGCGTTTGTGGTATCGCGGCGACACACACTCGATGTGGCTCGATACGCTTCTCCGCGGCACGCACTCGTAATTAGGCGAACGAGAATACCGAGGGCACGATTAACGTTAGTCATGATAGCGAGTAGAGTCCCCTTTTGCACGACATTTCTTTAGACTACTCGGTTAGAATTTCGCCCGAACGTTTTAAAACCGAAACCTCCTGGCACTGTCACGCTCCGCCTCGAGACGAAAGTCGAGTGGCACTGCTAGCCACCGGGACTGTAAACTTGGCGAACAGAGAATAAATTATTAGGTCTTCCCGAGGCAGGAATAGAAAATTTATATCGTATCGGTGCGATCGATAATCCCACCCCGTTGACCATCTATTCTTTCCTCGATCTATCTCGTTACATTTACTACCTACGTCGATTTCTAATTTTGGGGGAGGGGGAATTCGCGAGGACCACCAAAGGGGAACGGCAATTCAACTTTTGATAGATCGTCGAGGCGACTCGAGCGTAATTATGTTTAACTAGCTTTTGGGCAGACCTCGAAACCCGTTTCCCGCAATTACCCCCGCCTGGAATTCGCGGAAGTGAAACGTCGTCGGGAAAAGGTTATTATTCTGAAGCACCTTGGAAATGCAATCAAAGTTTTGCTCTCGGTTCGACATCGCGGCCACGGGGACAAGAGACAATGTTGATGATAATTAGGGCGGGCATGATCCTGGACGTGGAAGCAAGCACGCGGTTGAAAACAATTTACTTTAATAATTACCGAGGTAATCTGGCTAACGGTGGATTTCTTGATAATTTCGATTTCTTTCCGAATTATTCGACGAAATTTTGTTCGGAGATATTGGCCAGATCATGATACCGCGATGCTCCGAAATCGAGAGTAGTGGAGGAAGGGCGGGAGGATAAGAGGAAAGGGAAGTAAGCTAGAAAGCGAACGAAGACACAAAGCGGTAGAGAAAATCGAAAGGGAGCGTAAAGAGGGCGGCAGGAGGCAGAAAGGAGATCGAACGATGGAATGACAAGCAGGGGAGAGGGGAATGGAGGGGAGGGAGGCCAGTCGTGGTGAAAGAGAGAGAGAGAAAGATTCTCATTGTGAAGAAAGCCGTATGCGTACGTAGAAGACGTGAGATCCGTTGGACCCGCATGCGGACCTTATTGTGTCCCAAAAGGGCGTATACGGTAGGTACCTTAATGTCGGCACGGATGAAAGCGTGGGCCCTCCTTTGTCTTTCCTTCGTGAAGCTGCCACAGCAAGTAGCGTGCTCTGCGGGTAGCCCTGCACCATTCCTCAACTACCGTTCACCGTGTCGCTCTCTTTCTCTCTCTATATCCCGTACTCTTTTTCTCCCTTTGCTCTGCCGCGGCCCTCCTTTTGCCTCCCTTTCTCGCGGATCGTAACGTTAGATCGAAAACCGATTTCACAGAGGAGAGAGCTTCTGGCTCCACCGACGAGATAGGATCCGAGCCACCTTGCTTCGGGAGCTAAGAGAAATCGTAAGGGGAAATTTGGGAAATTTTCATCTTGTTTAGGTTTTGCGACGAATCCTTGCGGTTTTCATTTGCCGGAAAGTTACCGGTTAGCCAATCTTAACATTAAAGACGTCTGACATGGTTTCGTGCTAGTGAACGTAACGAAATTATCTATTAACGTTTGAATAAACCGAGGTCGATTTGAGTGACTGTTATTATCCACAGCGAAAACTTGTTTACGTAGAATTAAAGGGTTTCGGGAGGGCCTGGATAAACTATTAACATCAGAATGTATCACTCTTAAAACCATGC